ATGTTGTATTAATGTTTTCATTGCCGAGCTGGATATTGTTCAAACGACTTGTGACAGGACATCACTCCGAAGGCTTAATCCCTTATCACGGTGAACAGTATCGTTTACAAGTCGGCTGACAGATTTACAACTTTTTCCTCTATTTGGTTTAGCGTGCTGCAATGGTCGAGGCAGACCTATCGCTCTCGCATGCTCGGGTGATATTGGGTTCGAAATCATGAGGTACCACACAACAATGAATAGGCTAATGGACGGGTAGTCTGTCATACAGACCCTATTTTTTTAATCCAATACAGCCCAAGCAAGTCATTAAGGTTTGGCAAGTCTAGATCGCTGTAGTATCTGAAAGTGAAGAAAGTCTCTGGGCTCCTTTTTATTATATACTCTTCAAAAGAAAAGAAACGCAAGACGGATACTTTGGGTCATAAAAGGAAAATTAGCGGACCAAGAGGTGCAAAATGAAGAGGTTTGATGTGTTTTAGTGTCAGTGACAAATTTCCCAGATCAAAATGATCACAGCAAGGTCATGCAAATTATTAGTCGGGAAACACGTACAATTCGGAAAAACGCACCTAGTGCATGAACAAAAGGAAAATGGCACTGCACGCACAGCAGCACTATAAACGGCATTAAAGTGTAGGGTTTCTGATTGCATGGCATCTGCCTTAATCGAACAGTGACAGTTCAACAACATGCCAAGATTAACAGAAGTGCTAAGAAACAACGTCATAGGCCGATTGCAGGCAGGGGAATCCCGATCAGCTGTAGCCAGGGTTTTCAATGTAGCGCCCAGCACCATCACAAGGCTATGTGATCGGTTTCAACAGCCTGGGTCAACTTGTGATCGGCCAAGGTCGGCACGACCAAGAGTAACCACCCCCGCACAAGATTGCTACATCCGACTGCGCCACCTAAGTGAAGGGACGACCACAGCCACCTCAACCGCATCCCAAATACCCGGACTGCGCAGTATCTCCGACCAGACAGTACGAAACCGTTTAAGAGCAGCAGGTCTACGAGCAAGACGTCCCAATCGACGCGTCGTATTGAGTCGACAACATCGTCAACAACGACTGCAATGGTGTCGTCAACACAGGGTATGGCCTCAACTGCGATAGAGAGATGTCTGGTTCAGCGACGAACCAAAATTTCTCCTCCGTCGAGGGGATGGAAGAGCACGGGTCTACAGACGTCGGTGAGAAATTTACGCCGGAAACTGCGTATACAGGAAGTGAACAGGTTAGGTGGGGGTAGCGTTATGATATGGGCGGATATCTCTCATCATGGCAGGACAGGTTTGGTCCATATCCAGGGCAATCTTACGGCTAAACGATACATCAACGAAATTCTCCGGCTACGCGTCCTCCCAACTGCAGCCAACGGCAACGGTGTATTCCAGCAGGACAACGCTCGACCGCACACTTCACTGATAACAAGAGTCTGTCCAAACAACAACAACGTTGATGTTCTCCCCTGGCTCTCCAGTTCCCCGGATTTGAACCCGATAGAGCACATGTGGGATGAATTGGATAGACGGCTACGCCGACGTCAACCACAGTTGGCTTTAGCGTTGCAGGCTGAGTGGGCTGCCATTCCCCATGATGTGATTCGCATACTCGTCTCTTCCATGGGCAGGAGATGTCAGGCCGCTATCGATTCCAACGGGGAAAATATACGCGTTATTGATGGTAGCTGACCTTTACCTTTGACTTCTCCTATGTACCGATAACTGAGATGACTACAATCACCAAGTGTTCTCTCCACAACATTTTTGGCTTAATAACTTGTACGGTTCCTCGTATAAATGTATTTTCCTACCTCACACAAATCTAGTTTCATATACTATGGGTGAGGTAACTTTGGGTTTAACGTCGCGTTCAAGATTATAGCACTTATATAGCGACGAGCACGTGTGTGTCTGCTTGTACTGGTCCGGACTGATGCCGACTTATATACTGAACACCAAAAGAAACGCGAAATCTTCATGTTCCTTTCTAATATGGGAAAATGGTTGTGAAAACGGTTGGCTGCTATGGGTCCATTGTAATGGGTTTTAATTGTTTCAAAATGACCCTAACCAGAGTTAAGGGCAGTGAACTCTTAATCCACAGCGCTTTAACGCACCGAAGTCAGTGTGGGATGGATACGCACGAAATGCACGTGCTGCTTATGCCGCAAAAACTGTCCGTGAAGATGTTGTCTTTAAAAGCCACGAAAGTGTCACTGTGAATCATTCACTTATCAACGTGAGTGACAATGCCACGACTGTCACAGATCTATCGAGAGAGAGCTATTGGGCAACTTCAAGCTGGTGAGAGTGTTCAGAGAGTTGCAAACACCTTTAACGTCCACGTTTCCACCATCTACCGTCTGCAGGAAAGATTCCAGACAACCAACAGCACCAGAGACAGGCATCGTACCGGCAGACCCCGTGTGACAACACAACGTCGGGACCGTCACATTCACAGGTCACATCTGCAAGAACGTTTCCTGTCGGCCAGTGAAACTGCTAGGAACGTCGTTGGAAACCACGGGAGGGCTGTAAGTTCCAACACAGTAAGACGGCGACTTCGTGACAGAGGGCTTCAGTGAAGGCGACCATCACAAGGTCCTGTTCTCACTCAACGTCACCCTCTCCTGAAATTACAGTGGGCCCAAGCACGCTTGAATTGGCGTCATCAGCAGTGGAGAAGAGTTCTGTTCTCTGATGAAAGTCGGTATTGTGTTGATCGTGCCGATGGACGTGTTAGAGTATGGCGACGTCGCGGTGAGCGCTATCATGACCAGTGTGTCCTTGAACGGAACTCTTGGGGTGGTCCTACAGTCATGGTTTGGGGTGGAATAGGGTTAAATCAGAGAACTGACCTTGTAATCTTTCAGAACGTTGGAGCTGGTAGGGGCAATGGTGTCACTGCTCAGCGTTACATCGATCAGGTGTTGAGGCCCCAGGTTGTACCGTTTTTTGCAAGACAAGGCAACTTCCAATTTCAACAGGATAACGCTCGTCCCCACACCGCCAAGATTACTCAAGCCTTCTTGCAACAGCACAATATCAACACCATGCCCTGGCCGGCTCTTAGTCCTGATCTCAACCCTATTGAACACTTGTAGGATGAAGTGCAGAGACGTTTGAACATGGCGCGTCCGAGGCCAAGGACAGCTGCACAGCTCGAGGTTACCATCCTGCAGGTGTGGCGGCACATCCCCATGAACACTATCAACCGTCTTATTCACTCCATGCACAGACGGTGTGTCGCGCTTGTGAATGCAAATGGGGGCCATACCAGGTATTGAGGTATACCCATACTTCAGTTGACTGCAGCGTGGTCACGTGGTGTTGTGTTGATGGATACAGAAGATGTCTGATGTCCAGAGAACTGACTCTTTCTTATTGCTAATGAATTGTGTTGTATCCATCAGTATTATGTTTATACCAGCTAAAACAAAATACATCATGTTTCCTATACCTTCTTGATTCGCGTTTCTTTTGGTGTTCAGTATAGATACCATGCCGCAGTTTAACATGAATACCCTACTTAGACACAGTATACTGACTCCGAGCCGACCAGTCCTAGTGAGTGTTAAACTTTTGTTGTTTCGTTCCGGTAATTCAAGAATTCCGTCACGAGATTCTTATTTTTGCAAGATATTAACTTAATGTAATAATCTCTCAATGCAATTCCATTTATATCTAAGATACGTTTACAATATTTGTAGCTTAAATTTACAGTTAGACTTTGGATTATTTTAATTAGATCTATCTGTGCCTGACAATTAGCGGTGTTGAAATAATCGTGTATGCTGTTTTGAAACATTGTCGAGAAGCTATAACGGGTAAACACTATAGTCTATGAAGTTAATACGATTCTGACGTCATCAGACCCGCGAAGATTCCGGGTTAGAATAGGTCTTCAGCAACCCATGCTTGCCGTAAAAGGTGACTGCTTGTCGTAAAAGGCGACTAACGGGATCGGGTGGTCAGGTTCGCATAAAAACATAAAAACGACGTAAAATGTGATGACGTCACATTTGGTTGGTGGTTGGTTGTTGTTTAACGCCGCACTCAGCAATATTCCAGCTGTATGACGGCGGTCTGTAAGTAATCGAGTCTGGACCAGACAATCCAGTGATTGATATCATGAGCATCGATCCACGCAATTGGGATAGGATGACATGCATCAACCAAGTCAGCGAGCCTGACCACCCGATCACGTTAGTCGCCTAATAAACAAAACAACTGACTCATGTCAAATACCACGTTTATCTCATATCAGGATCTGAAAAAGTACTATATTAATGTAGGGTTTATGTATAGAATCTCCATGTTAGTACAGGAAGATTAATAGCACCACAGTGTGTATAAAAATGTTATTGCATGGAAGTAGCCTTGGGTTACACAATATTATAATTTTTTACCATTTAATAAGGGGCGGTCGTGGAGCCTCGTGGTTAAAGCGTTCGCTGGTAACGCTAAAGTCCCGAGTTCGATTCCCGACATGGGTACAAACTGTGAAAACCATTTCTGCTGTCCTCCGCCGTGATATTGCTGGAATATTGATAATTGCGGCGTAAACCCATACTCACTCACTCACTATTTAATAATAATATTTCTATAATTGGTATATATATGTTATAACATAAATGAAACAAAAAATGCAAAGGGGTAAATCCGTAATAATTATTCATTTGGTAATATGTTCTGCTTTTTAAATAACATCATATTATGGGAACTCGTCAGTGTTGACATTAGGCATGCAAACTGACGCTTTGTTGTGTTATGGTTAGATATTTCAAGGTATGTATATAATAACTATATATATCCTTCAAATGTCATATAAAAGGGGATTTAGTTTTGCTGCAAGTGCAGAAAAGGCCAATACAATATTATGTAAATATTGATTTGATCTCCTGTATTTTTCTGCATCAAAACACGCCATTTAAATAGTGTAAAATTAATCCAGTTGCCTGTAGTATTAGTTGCGCGAGGAGGGTAGCATCTACTTCCGTTATGATAATCGTCCATGTTCCGCCATTGTGTGTATTCATAAAAAGAAGACGATCACTGATGGGATAACCCCGACTCTGTATTACGAAGTCGGCCCATAACTTGTGGCACCACGATGGAGAAACAGAGTATGGCATGTTTTAAACTGATTTAATCTAATGTCCTGCTAGTTTAAACTTCTGAAAGCGCGAGAGACGATGTGGAAACGAGGCCTCGTTATGGCGACACTCGGTTGGGGCGAGGAAGGGCCAGAAACGATGCCGGGCCCTGTGTAGTCACTGACAGGTCGGGCCCCTTCTACGACTGTGTTTGATGAATCGCAACTTTAAGTTGTATGGTGAAATGCAATGAGACGTGACATATTTTAGTTTTTAATGAAGTGGAATATCAACGCTGCAATCCGTTGATAAACTTATAATATACGTCTAACTACATAAGCCACGACGACGCTCAAGGGCACCCGCCCAGGAGTAAATGGTCTGCGTGTGCTGGGTGCCGGGCTTATTTATAAACAAACGGGATCGCTGCCATGTGGTCCATTTCTCACTTTAGTTTTTGGAAAGCTCCCCAAAACAAAGAATGATATCAGAATGTTTAGAGTATTGTAATATGTAATATGTGTTTGTTTGTTATTGTATTAATAATCATTATTTTGTTGAATAATAATACCAGTATGCTGTCAGTGTCAATGTCAATTAGATATACTTACTTTAACAAGGCCCAAAATGCCAATTACAGTTTGGGTTAATAAGATAATCACCCCATATGTAAATAATAGATAAGAAAATAAAAAAAGAAGAAAATTATTTAAAAAATATGAAATGAAACAATCAATATCTGTTGATGTATACTCATGGAAATGAGTAAGGGAACACTAAGTTTTAGACACAGTTAAATGATATGCTATCATGGGCTCCTTGTCTACCAAATTCGCACTGAAACAATGTACACAAACACATCTCAACATTTGATTCTGATATGTCTTGAATTTGTATGCGTGCAGTTTCAAATGTACTGACAGTTAGGCCTATTTTCCCTATTTTTTTCATTGTTCCCTTTATCATTTCCATAAGTATATATTAGGGCTTGGATGGGTAACTTGGGTACTCGGGTCGGGTGGGTACTGAGAAGGAGCCGGGTACCCACAGGAATACCCGGACCCATGGTTAGTCAGGTGATACATTGTTTAACATTTGTTTAATGACAAAAATTATCTAGAACTATATGGTAACACTACAAGTCACTAATGTTTGCATTTCTTTCTAATTATGGACTCATTCCTTCTGACCCTTATATGTTTGAATAAAGATAAAACTTCAACTTCAGTGTAGGCATGACCAGATCATTTTATACATGTATCTAAGTACATTTTGTCAAGGACTAAGGTCAAACTGTTCCCAGTCGGACATTTTGAACCTATCTCTTGAGACCTACAGCGGGCACCCAGGTAGGGTCAGGTGATAGGGCGGTGGGCATTTGGCATGCAATACACATTTTTATCAATGTCAAAACAAACGTAGCTGTCGCCAGGAAATTCAACATGTTCAAAGTGATTATTTTTCAATGACAGTTGAACAAATATTACTGCTAAACACTATTATTTTCATGTATACATGACCTCAGACCCTCACAGGAAGATAATTTTCTATATACAAACATGAGTCCATCAGAAAAGTGATTTTCTTTGAATTCATATCTCTTGTAGGCTTGGAACTTGATAAAATATCAGCTAAATAGTTTTGGTCTAACATACACATTAGGTCACATTATCGTTTTTAATAACTAGGATCTATGACACTGGGACAATTACTTTAAACTACAACTCATATTCCTGTAGCATTGCAGGGGTCCAGTCATCTAAGGTGCTGCGATTTGCTGTGCAGAGTTGCGTCCCTTGGGCACACCAGAAACCTATGATTGTGGGTTTGAATCCCGGTTTTCCCCGATTATGTTTCTAGGTTTGTCAGCACCATAACCACGCTCGTGGGTTTCACCGAAGTGGTAAACGTCTGAGACCTGCATCACTTTGGGCTTTCCTCCAACATTAAGCTGACACGCCATGATACAACTGGAATACTGTTAAAAGCAGCATTAAACCCAACTCACTCACTCACTCACTGTAGCATTGCTACATTTTGTGAACTTTAAATACTGTATTATGTGCCCTGCTCCTACATGTGCCCCCTGACCAACTTCTAGACCAATCTGTAAGTCTTTTTAATACTATAACCAAACATTTACATGAGACTCGTGAAGATCCGGGGTAGAATAGGTCTTCAGCAACCCATGCTTGCTGTAAAAGGCGACTATGCTTGTCGTAAAACGCAACTTACAGGATCGGGTGGTCAGGCTCACTGACTTGGTTGATGCATGTCATCGATCCCATTTGTGCGGATCGATGCTCATGATATTAATCACTGGATTGTCTGTTCCAGACTCGATAATTACAGGCCGCTGTCATATAGCTGGAATATTGCTGAGTGCGGCGTTAAACAACAAACCAAACAAAAAAAAACATTTACATAACAGTCTATGAGCTCTTGTGTATAGTAAAAACTTTTTTGTCAGAAAGCAGAAGCGTAGAAGCATATGCCTTGTAACTATTATTGAAAAACTGTTAGTTTCACTGATGTTTGAACTAAGTTTATTCTCTACCGCTTGAAGGGCGGTCGGCCAGCCTAGTGGTTAAAGAGGTCACTCGTCATGCCAAAGACCCAGGTTCGATTCCTGACATGGGTACAATGTGTGAAGTCCATTTCAGGTGTCCCCCACCGTGCTATTGCTGGAATATTGCTAAAGCGGCGTAAAACCAAACTCACTCACTCTACCGCTTGATCACTGACAACAAATTCAACTTCATGTGTATGGTATTAATAAACGCCTCCCTTTGTCAGTTTTATAAGCAACTAGGGTGCTTATCATGGTGAATGCTGTAAGCGTAACTTTAAAATTAAATGACCAAATTTAATTATAATATGTTCTGTTATTAGAACTCCCAGTTTTTTTGTATGTGCTTTAATACTGTTAGATAGACTTTACATTGAAGATTATCAGTAAGAGATTATCTTTGTCTCCTAATGAGTTCATCTTAAAAAGCTTTTGACTTTTGAATGTTTTTAACTGTGCACTGTTAAAGTGAATGTAAAGGAATAGCTAAAATGAGTCAGTACGGTTGTTTCTAATATTTGATCATGAGTAAGTCTTTATCCCAAGCAGATTTCTGAGGGAAGAACTGGTCCTTTGGTCATGGACATGCTCAGAGTTAAGCGTTTTCCAGAACTCGGAAATAAAACTTGTCTGAGTGGTCAGAATTAAACTGTCCAGTAACCCCCAAATACCCTATATTGTAACCCTATATTGTGATCTTCCATTGTGGGGGTGTTTGGGTAGCCTAGTGGTTAAAGCGTTAGCTTGTCATGACGAAAACCCGGGTTCGATTCCCGACATGGGTACAATGTGTGAAGCCCATTTCTGGTGTCCCCCGCCGTGATATTGCTGGAATATTGCTAAAAGCGGTGTAAAACCATACTCACTCACTCACTCACTCTTCTATTGTGCTTGTATACCCTGTCTGTGCCCAAAATGTTTGACCCTAGTATATCTTTTTACACCATTTTCATTAGATTTTAGTGTTATCATATGTATTATTATCAGCTAAGTTTACTAGGCCAAACATGATTTTACTGGTCATCCCAAATTAAGCCTTTAAATGCAGAAAATATGTAAAACTCGCTGAAGACTCTGTTTATTTCAGTAACTCATTCAAATTCAAAAGTACAATAAAACAATTATGCACCATTTAAACACCAAAACATCATGAAATACAATTGAAGAGACCAGTTGTCTTATTTATTTATTTTTATTGTATTTCATAAGATTTGTGGTTTAACTTCCAGATTCTCTGGATGACTTCATTGACATCCATATCTGTGGTGCCTGCAAGAGTCAGTTCAACAATGTTGAAGTGTTTCTACTGCACAAGAGCCAATGTCCATCCTTGGCAGAATTGCGGGCCAAGATGGCTGCCAAGGTGTCGTCTGCTCCCAGTTTGGAAGCGAGCAGTAATAGCGAAGCACCTCGGACAACGGAAGGGGAAGTGGTGTCAATCAAACACCTTGTTCAGGCTGCAGAGAGCCAGTTGCTCACACCCCAACAGATTCCTAGTGGCGCGTCGGAGGTGGATGGTCAACATTCCACCTCCATCACTGTTCAGTCGGGTTCAGGACAGTCCATGGTGCTAACGAAGGACGGCATCTTACAAGCTCCAGAAGATTCTACCTCAGGTTGGTCACAGCAAGTGGAACAAAATACTCCAACATCGAGTGTCATGTTTCTGTCCAGTGAAGAGGCTGCCGTGTTTCAAAAAACAAAGGAAGCGTCTCTGGAGGAAAAGCACAAAATACCCAGAAGTCAAGACAATCAGCATGACCTTAAGCAGCTTCAGCCTGCACAGACAATTTATGTGGAGGCGATCCATCAGCCGGAGCAAGACTATGAACTGAATCGGCTGAAGACAAAAGAGGAGCAGTTCAGTGGTGTCAGCCTCTCTCTGAGCAGTGGTGGCTCGCCTCGGCAGGGGGAGAGAACTGATGTTATTGTTACAGAGAACATGCTGACTGCATCAGGGCAACAGGGGATGGTGATTGAGTCGGGGGCTCTGCTGCCCAACTCCGAGTTGGTCCACCAGGGGGAGCAGTATCTGGTGAGCGAAGATGGAGATGCTTCCGAAGTTCAAACTGTCATGTATGCAGAGGAGACACCCCTCCCTCAGCACAAACCTTTCACGGGCATGAGAGGACATGGTTGGTATCTTCAATATCATTATTGTTCGTCAGTTAGGCTAGGTATGATTAGTCACTTGTTGAACAGATCTGCTGCACACTTTTTATTAATAAAGATAAATATTTTTACAGTTTAAAAAAAATAATTTTTTGATACTGTATCAACTGACATGAAAAAGTCCTTGACCAAAGGTTTTCTTTTGAGATGTATAGACCAGACAATGCTGACATTGGCCAAAAAAACTCATCAATCTCTCTACCAAGTTTTATTATGAGACTAAAATTCTTGACAATCACAACATTTGAGATTAACCAGAAAGGGCTCCAATCTGTCTTTATCTGACAGATTGTTTCATGCCGCTGTGTTTCAGAACTGATGTTGGCGATAGATGACCCTGTCTCACCGAGTCGCAAGAAGTACAAGTGCACATTTGCAGCATGTAACTTCATCACACTGTATGTGCGAGACCTGGAGCGCCATGTACGCACGCACACGGGAGAGCGGCCATTTCAGTGTATGCACTGCAGCAAAGCCTTCAGCCGCAGCGACAAACTGAAGATACACCTGCGTGGGCACACAGGGAGCAAACCCTTCAAGTGTCATTACTGTGAGTACACCATACCTTTAAATGTCGTTACTGTGAGTACACCATACCTTTAAATGTAATTACTGTGAGTACACCATACCTTTAAATGTTGTTACTGTGAGTACACCATACCTTTCAATGTAATTACTGTGAGTACACCATACCTTTAAATGTAATTACTGTGAGTACACCATACCTTTAGATGTCATTACTGTGAGTACACCATACCTTTAAATGTTGTTACTGTGAGTACACCATACCTTTAAATGTAATTACTGTGAGTACACCATACCTTTAAATGTAATTACTGTGAGTACACCATACCTTTTAATGTCATTACTGTGAGTACACCATACCTTCAAATGTCATTACTGTGAGTACACCATACCTGTAAATGTTGTTACTGTGAGTACACCATACCTTTAAATGTAATTACTGTGAGTACACCATACCTGTAAATGTCATTATTGTGAGTACACCATACCTTTAAATGTCATTACTGTGAGTACACCATACCTTTAAATGTAATAACTGTGAGTACACCATACCTTTAAATGTAATTACTGTGAGTACACCATACCTGTAAATGTCATTACTGTGAGTACACCATACCTTTAAATGTAATCACTGTGAGTACACCATACCTTTAAATGTCATTACTGTGAGTACACCATACCTTTAAATGTAATCACTGTGAGTACACCATACCTTTCAATGTAATTACTGTGAGTACACCATACCTTTAAATGTAATCACTGTGAGTACACCATACCTTTAAATGTAATCACTGTGAGTACACCATACCTTTCAATGTAATTACTGTGAGTACACCATACCTTTAAATGTCATTACTGTGAGTACACCATACCTTTAAATGTAATCACTGTGAGTACACCATACCTTTCAATGTAATTACTGTGAGTACACCATACCTGTAAATGTCATTACTGTGAGTACACCATACCTTTAAATGTCATTACTGTGAGTACACCATACCTGTAAATGTCATTACTGTGAGTACACCATACCTTTAAATGTAATAACTGTGAGTACACCATACCTTTCAATGTAATTACTGTGAGTACACCATACCTGTAAATGTCATTACTGTGAGTACACCATACCTTTAAATGTAATCACTGTGAGTACACCATACCTTTAAATGTCATTACTGTGAGTACACCATACCTTTAAATGTAATCACTGTGAGTACACCATACCTTTCAATGTAATTACTGTGAGTACACCATACCTTTAAATGTAATCACTGTGAGTACACCATACCTTTAAATGTAATCACTGTGAGTACACCATACCTTTCAATGTAATTACTGTGAGTACACCATACCTTTAAATGTCATTACTGTGAGTACACCATACCTTTAAATGTAATCACTGTGAGTACACCATACCTTTCAATGTAATTACTGTGAGTACACCATACCTTTCAATGTCATTACTGTGAGTACACCATACCTTTAAATGTCATTACTGTGAGTACACCATACCTGTAAATGTCATTACTGTGAGTACACCATACCTTTAAATGTCATTACTGTGAGTACACCATACCTGTAAATGTCATTACTGTGAGTACACCATACCTTTAAATGTTATTACTGTGATTACACCATACCTGTAAATGTCATTACTGTGAGTACACCATACCTGTAAATGTCATTACTGTGAGTACACCATACCTTTAAATGTCATTACTGTGAGTACACCATACCTTTAAATGTAATAACTGTGAGTACACCATACCTTTCAATGTAATTACTGTGAGTACACCATACCTTTCAATGTAATTACTGTGAGTACACCATACCTTTCAATGTAATTACTGTGAGTACACCATACCCTTAAATGTCATTACTGTGAGTACACCATACCTTTAAATGTAATCACTGTGAGTACACCATACCTTTAAATGTAATTACTGTGAGTACACCATACCTTTAAATGTAATCACTGTGAGTACACCATACCTTTTAATGTCATTACTGTGAGTACACCATACCTTCAAATGTCATTACTGTGAGTACACCATACCTGTAAATGTTGTTACTGTGAGTACACCATACCTTTAAATGTAATTACTGTGAGTACACCATACCTGTAAATGTCATTACTGTGAGTACACCATACCTTTAAATGTTGTTACTGTGAGTACACCATACCTTTAACTGTCATAACTGTGAGTACACCATACCTTTAGATGTCATTACTATGAGTACACCATACCTTTAAATGTCATTACTGTGAGTACACCATACCTTCAAATGTCATTACTGTGAGTACACCATACCTTTAAATGTAATAACTGTGAGTACACCATACCTTTCAATGTAATTACTGTGAGTACACCATACCTGTAAATGTCATTACTGTGAGTACACCATACCTTTCAATGTAATTACTGTGAGTACACCATACCTGTAAATGTCATTACTGTGAGTACACCATACCTTTAAATGTAATCACTGTGAGTACACCATACCTTTAAATGTAATTACTGTGAGTACACCATACCTTTAAATGTAATCACTGTGAGTACACCATACCTTTTAATGTCATTACTGTGAGTACACCATACCTTTAGATGTCATTACTATGAGTACACCATACCTTTAAATGTCATTACTGTGAGTACACCATACCTTCAAATGTCATTATTGTGAGTACACCATACCTTCAAATGTCATTACTGTGAGTACACCATACCTTTAAATGTAATTACTGTGAGTACACCATACCTTTCACTGACATAATTGTGAGTACACCATACCATTCAATGTAATTACTGTGAGTACACCATACCATTCAATGTCATTACTGTGAGTACACCATACCTTCAAATGTCATTACCGTGAGTACACCATACCTTTAACTGTCATAACTGTGAGTACACCATACCTTTAAATGTCATTACTGTGAGTACACCATACCCTTAGATGTCATTACTATGAGTACACCATACCTTTAAATGTCATTACTGTGAGTACACCATACCTTCAAATGTCATTACTGTGAGTACACCATACCTTTAAATGTCATTACTGTGAGTACGCCATACCTTTAGATGTCATTACTGTGAGTACACCATACCTTTCACTGACATAATTGTGAGTACACCATACCTTTAAATGTAATTACTGTGAGTACACCATACCATTCAATGTAATTACTGTGAGTACACCATACCTTTAAATGTCATTACTGTGAGTACACCATACCTTTAAATGTAATTACTGTGAGTACACCATACCTTTCACTGACATAATTGTGAGTACACCATACCTTTAAATGTAATTACTGTGAGTACACCATACCATTCAATGTAATTACTGTGAGTACACCATACCTGTAAATGTCATTACTGTGAGTACACCATACCTGTAAATGTCATTACTGTGAGTACACCATACCTTTAAATGTCATTACTGTGAGTACACCATACCTTTCAATGTAATTACTGTGAGTACACCATACCATTTAATGTCATTACTGTGAGTACACCTTACCTTTAACTGTCATAACTGTGAGGACCCCATACCTTTTAATGTCATAACTGTGAGTACACCATACCTTTAAATGTCATAACTGTGAGTACACCATACCATTCAATGTCATTACTGTGAGTACACCATACCTTTAGATGTCATTACTATGAGTACACCATACCTTTAAATGTCATTACTGTGAGTACACCATACCTTTAAATGTAATAACTGTGAGTACACCATACCTTTCACTGACATAATTGTGAGTACACCATACCATTCAATGTAATTACTGTGAGTACACCATACCTTTAACTGTCATAAATGTGAGTACACCATACCTTTAAATGTCATTACTGTGAGTACACCATACCTTTAGATGTCATTACTATGAGTACACCATACCTTTAAATGTCATTACCGTGAGTACACCATACCTTTAACTGTCATAACTGTGAGTACACCATACCTTTAAATGTCATTACTGTGAGTACACCATACCTTTCAATGTAATTACTGTGAGTACACCATACCTTTAAATGTCATTACTGTGAGTACACCATACCTTTCACTGACATAATTGTGAGTACACCATACCATTAAATGTCATTACTGTAAGTATACATGACACCTTCAAATGACATTACTTTATGTATACATGACACCTTTAAATGACATTACTGTAAGTATACGTAACACCTTCAAATGACATTACCGTAAGTATACATGACACCTTCAAATGACATTACTGTATGTATACATGACACCTTCAAATGACATTACTGTATGTATACATGACACCTTCAAATGACATTACTGTAAGTATACGTAACACCTTCAAATGACATTACCGTAAGTTTACATGACACCTTCAAATGACATTACTGTAAGTATACGTAACACCTTCAAATGACATTACTGTAAGTATACATGACACCTTCAAATGATATTACTGTAAGTATACACAACACCTTCAAATGACATTACTGTAAGTATACATGACACCTTCAAATGACATTACTGTAAGTATACATGACACCTTCAAATGACATTACTGTAAGTATACATGACACCTTCAAATGACATTACTGTATGTATACATGACACCTTCAAATGACATTACTGTATGTATACATGACACCTTCAAATGACATTACTGTAAGTATACATGACACCTTCAAATAACATTACTGTAAGTATACACACCACCTTCAAATGACATTACTGTAAGTATACATGACACCTTCAAATGACATTACTGTAAGTATACATGACACCTTCAAATGACATTACTGTAAGTATACATGACACCTTCAAATGACATTACTGTATGTATACATGACACCTTCAAATAACATTACTGTAAGTATACACACCACCTTCAAATGACATTACTGTAAGTATACATGACACCTTCAAATGACATTACTGTAAGTATACATGACACCTTCAAATGACATTACTGTATGTATACATGACACCTTTAAATGACATTACTGTATGTAAGTACACATGATACCTTCAGATGTGACTTCTGAGAGAATACATGACATCGTCAAAATTTATAACATGATACCTTAAAAGTTACATTCGGTGAGAGTTTTGGTTGTCAGACTTTTCATGCCCTAGAATATGTAAAGATACAACAATTTGAATTTGTTTTTGCTGAATTTATGTTCAATAATTTGAAAAACACATGTTTTGGTGGTGACTTGTTATATTACAGCGGAATTCATATAGCCATAATTAATAACCACAAAATACAACCATGCAAAGCAAGGCCTTTTTGTGTCGTACAAAATAGACAGACATAACACAATATCAAATACAGTAAACTACGGTTATAATGAACACGCTTATAACGAACTGACTGATATAACAAACTTACTTTTTAGTCCCGGCCATTTGTTATATATATGCTGTATATATGCTTATCACGAACTACGGTTATAATAAACTAAAATAAGTGGTCCCTTTGAGTTTGTTATAACCGTAATTTACTGTAAGTGAAAACATTAAGTGAGTTTGACCGAAATAATTTGGAAGTTTGGTTGCCTTTGTTTCACAATAAGGTGTCTTTAACAACAACATGTAAGCAATGTTATTTATATCTGTTTGGAGGATTAAGCCATTTCCAGTCACTGATGGCTCTTGAAACAAATTTAGAGATCTGAAACTGTTGTCAAGCCCTTGATAACCAAAATTTGATGTCTGCCAAATTAACACTTTTTTGTTTTTCATACATTAATAGTAATTTAACTTTGAGGTTGAAAGTTTCAATCACCTACATTGAGTTATTTCTCAATATTTTTGTAAAAATCTGAACTTAATTCTAAGTTGTGAAACTGGTAGATAAATTGTATCTCACAAACGCTTGTGTAGTAATCACTTTTTTGAACGTATACAATGAAGTTATAAAAGGGTTTAAACAAGAACTATGCTCTTGTGTCCATTTATGGTCATTTCTTAGACAGTGTACTTAAATAGTTTGTCAAACTAATGGCGTCTGTGTGTACCGGGGTAATCATGATCTGCTAGATTGATAAACAGTGTAAAAATTGAGTTTGCTGGAAAAAAATTTGGGATTTGAATGACTTGAGTCAACATGATGATATGTTCTGAGACCACCAGTTGGCCTGAGCCCTTTTGTTTTAATCTCTTTTAAGTTTTCAAATCTTTGATGAAACCACTGAAGTGAAAAGAACAAAGTTGTTGTAAATTGTTCAACATGATATCCAGGGATGCCTAAGTGGAAAGATGATGCAAGGGAAATAACTCTGTCAGTCTAATAACTACTGTGGCCCAAGTTGCCCTTCCTTCCATCCACAGCTTCTGCTGCTGCTGCTGCTGCTGCTCTCAATCTTTTTGATATGTATGATCGTTACCAGTATTTTTTAGAAAAAAACCTCCTTGGTTAACCTCAGCATTGTTTTTTATCCTATACACCAGTACATTTCAAATTTTTAAAGATTTATTATTTTTTTCTTTTATTCTTCAAAGGATAAAGTACTGTTATATAAAACAGGATTTCACTGAGGGTAGCAGAAGGAACATGGAAACAATATATCACAACTTATCAGTACATCTTAGATTTTTGTACAGAAAATCTGATACTTCTCACGCACGTTCACCCTACAGTAAACTACGGTTATAACAAGCTCAAAAGCACCACAAAGTTTAGTTTGTTATAACCATAGTTCATTACAAGCATATATACAGCAAATGGCAGGGAACACGAAACTCTTTGTTTTATCCGTCAATTCATTAATAACATATACATTAACTCATACCCCGAATATATCATGAATGCACTATTAAGGCTAATATGTTATACTGCACTGCAGGAAGGAACATGGTCTCAAACATTAAAGTCTTAAGCATAAAACTAAATTAAAGTGAAAGCTGCTCCTCATTTTTGAAGAGTTTATGATACAGCATCCAAGCACCATAGAATTTCTGCTGATTACCTGTCTTGAAAGCAGATCTTTTAGATCTTTTTCAATTTTGTATCAAGGAAAAAGCTTCTTTTTTATAAACATGAAACTAAGGTTTTGTATTTTGGAATTTGCATCTATAAACATAAAATTTTGCAATAAGTAAAAGTAAATCAAACACTTTATCTGCTTTTATGCTCTCTTTAATGACAGGAATTATTTTCTTAAAATATCACAATATCATAAATACAACATGACAGGTGCTTGGGAGTATGTAGCAGGGTGTGGAGTATGTGCTTACAGATGACATCCTCACCTTGTCAACTTGCAGATGGGTTTTACCTCTTTTGCCATGTGGGCCACATGTCCGATGTCTGATCAGAAGGTCCGTGGTTTGAATCCCATCATGGTACTCGGACATTTAATGGCTGCGACATGTATCATGTATCATGTGTGTCATGTGACATGTATCATGCATCATGTGTCAGGTGACATGTATCATGTGTCATGAGACATGCATCATGTGTAGCATGTATAATGTATCATGTGTATCATGTATAATTCATCATATGTATCATGTGTAATGTATAATGTATAATCTGTCACGTGACATCTATCATGCATCATGTGTATCATGTATCATGTAATGTATCATCATGCATCATGTGCCATGTGACATGTATCATGTGTCACGTGACATGTATCATGCATCATGTGTATCATGTATCATGTAATGTATCATCATGCATCATGTGTATCATGTGTCACGTGACATGTATCATGTGTCACGTGACATGTATCATGTGTATCATGTTTATGCTTGATCTCCACAGGTGATTACGGAGCCGCTGACAGCAGCAGCCTCAGGAAGCATCTTCGCATACACACAGATGAGAGGCCATTTAAGTAAGCTTTCAGAGTTCAGAGCTTTATTTCCTTTCTATAAGGCCCTAATTATTTAGTTCCTAGTTTACATATATTCGTGGTGAAAAATCCCAAGTGTTTTTTGTTCTTCAAACATTCAGTGAATATATTAGCAATCATATTGGCAACTGGTTGTGAAAGCTCATGTGTTTGTAACCTGACATATATTCTGTTTTAACACAGAGTTTTTCGCAATCATGATAATTGGAAGTTAGGTTTAATTAACACTTAACACACCCACTGGTATCAGGACGGCTGGTATCAGGACTGTATTCTTATTTTTCAAATTTATGTAAATATTATTTTTGCTAATGTTTTGGCTGGTCAAAGGATGCTTAAATATGTCTGATAACAGGACCAATAATGAAAACAGATCTTTAATGAATAGGTATAAATATAACAAATGTTATATTTGGGATAACACTTTCTTAGTAAAGTACAGATTCTCGTACTTTTTTGGGTTGAGTCCTGTCCGGGATTAGAACCCACACTTGCCAGAGTGAGGCACCTAATCGCCAGCACACAAAGTCAGCGATCTAACCCACTCAGCCACCGAGGCTTCCACAAAAATGTTACATTTGACCACTTTCTAAATGGCATTGTGTATTCATAGTTTTCGGCCATGGGAGCCGTGCCAATTTACACATGTCAGAGGGGTACACAAAGTACGTGATCTACACTACCAGTTGTCAGACTTTCATTTTTGTGGAAGCCTCGGTGGCTGAGTGGGTTAGATCGCTGACTTTGTGACTTTATCCCAAATATAACATTTGTTACATTTGACCACTTTCTAAATGGCATTGTGTATTCAAGGTATAAATATGTTGAAATTATTCTGAAGTTAAGAACACAAATACAGTAAAATGTTGGTCAGGTGAACTTTAAATCAGTGGAGTTTAAACCCTACTTACGTTATATTTCGGTGTGATTTTTAATCAGGTCTTTAGATTATTATTTTCGGCAATATTGTAGTGGTACAACCAAGAATTGGCCTTTTTGGCAGGGATAGAAATTGGCTCTAGCCACTAACCCGAGTCTGTTCATTCAATGGATAAGGTATTGAGTCAGTTAGTAGAATATCAGGATTTTTAACACATGTAAGGGATATTGGTATACGTTATAACTTTACAGTGAACCTTTCAGGTTAATTTCTCCTGCTGATATTGTTTTATTGCATTTGTCCCCAGATGCCAGATTTGCCCGTATGCAAGCCGCAACTCCAGTCAGTTAATCGTCCACCTCCGCACACACACGGGTGACACACCTTTCCAGTGCTCCCTCTGTGATGCCAAGTTCAAGATTAACTCCGACCTAAAGCGCCACATGCGCACACACACAGGGGAGAAGCCCTATGGCTGTGAATTGTGTGACTACAGATGCTCTATCAGAGGTGAGGAGTTATCCCCCCTGATGTACTGCTAAAGGCAATATGTTGTGTGTCAAATGTGTGTATCCTGTATTTAGAGGCTCTATCCAAGGTGAAGAGTTACCCTTGAAGTAGTTCTAAATTGAATATGTTGTGAGTCAAATATGTGTAAGCTCTTTATATGAGGATCCATCCATGATGAGGATCCATCCATGGTGAGGAGTTACCCCCTTGATGTACTTCTGAAGTCAGTATTTCATGTGTCATATGTATGTATATATATCCTGTATGTATGAGGCTCCATCCGAGGTGACATGAAGATCTGGGGTAGAATAGGTCTTCAGCAACCCATGCTTGCTCTAAAAGCTACTATACTTGTTGTAAGAGGCGACTAACGGGATCAGGTGGTCAGGCTCGCTGACTTGGTTGTTGCATGTCATCAATCCCAATTGCGTGGATCGATGCTCATGATATTAATCACTGGATTGTCTGGTCCAGACTGGATTATTTACAGACTGCCATCATATAGCTGGAATATTGCTGAGTGCAGTGTTAAACAACAAACAGATAGACAGACATTAAGGCCTGATCCCCTGCATTTGTAAAAGGAATCCAATCAATGTTATTAGTTTTGTACCTGTCTGCATTATTTTGGATATTCTTGGATTCAATAACAGATGTAAGTGTAATTTGAAAAAGAGGTATATGATGGGAATGAGAGTGTATCCGGCTGCAGAGGAGGATTTTACTGGTACAGCTGAAATATTGGGCAAATTAACTCACATATAGTGTAATGTATTCCTGAGATGACAAATTCAGTAGTCGTAGCGCTATGATCACTTTGTGAAAGTGTCCCCAGCTTTATTCTTATGCACATTTTTCAGGCAACCTTAAAAGTCACATCCGTATAAACCATTCCAATGAGAATGAGGTGAAGTGCAACTATTGTGACTTCCAGACATCGTCACGGAAACTACTTCGGGAACATAAGAAGATTCATGACACAACTCATCCGGTGAAATGTCCGACGTGTAATTATTGCTGTGCTAACAACAGTGCCCTCAAGGCTCATATGCGCATCCACAGCGACGAACGACCTTTTAATTGCAGCTTTTGTTCCTATTCATCAAAACAGAGTGGAAACGTGAAAACCCATGTACGTAAGAAACACCCAGAAAAGATGCTGGGGGATCGTAAGCCAGGCAGAACAATTATTAAGAAGAGTGCTCGGGCTGTGTCCACGAATACCCCCAGTCCCACTAAAACACGAGAGGATAGAGGATATGGGTTCAATCTGAAACCAAATTGTAAAAAAACATTTAGTTGTAATATATGCTCAGCTGCTTTTGTGAGAGAGGACTCTCTGAGAAGCCACATGAGACAACATTGTAAGGAGATAGCCCAGAACCTGGAGAGCACTGCCTTGGCTGTTCTTCAGCTCCAGAATTCCGGTCAAAGTGACAGCCAGATGTCTGACACAGTCGTGTCAACCATCGCCAATATGGTTCATCCCGGAGACCCAATGGAGACTGAAATGGAGGCAGTGATGGTGGCATCTCCCACCAGTATCGTTTCCAGTGTCAATGTCATCCAGTCGCCAGTGGTCTCCCACACAATTCAGACGTCTGCTCAGATGGCCCAGCAGAGGATGCACATCAGGAGGAAGCGATCCAGTAGTCGGGGTGGGCTTCAGGACATAGCTGAAGCTGCCGCCACCCTCTCCCAGATTCCCCACGGGTGTCCCTCCCCTGTCCGACCGACGTCCCCCTACCAGCATCAGCAGCAGTATGTGAACACTTCCAGGGCTAATATGGGATTCCAGGATGAATCTTTGTCACTCGGGCAGCTTCCTCCAACATCAGAACATCAGAATATGCATCATCAGCAGTTTATACAAAGCTCACAGGGCATGCAAGTCCTGCAGAACCCCTACCCAGGCCTGAAGCTTATCAACAACAAGCCTTACCCCTCTAATGATGGCGTTCAACATTCCCTGACCCCCCACCATCAGGTGGTCCAGCACATAAACCCCCATCAGCTTCCTCCCCGGGGCATCGCTCAGCAGCCCGAAGCAGCGGCCATCAACTTACAGGCAAGTCACACAATAATATTCACAATAATCAGACCATGCCTGACTGTTTAACAAGTAGAATTTTGCATTTTAGTTTAACATGTACAGAATTCAGCAGGGGCCGGTAATCCACAGGCAAGTAAAAATTATTACGATTCCAGGGTGGTGAAATACAATGTCTGACTGTCGAAAAAGTAGAAGTTTAAACTTTTAGGGAAACTTCATTTAAAGAGATGCCAGAATAGTTCATGTGCAAATCACAAGAACATATAATGAAATATTTTGTGCTCTAGGAAAGGCTTCACATTCATTCATTCATTCATTCATTCATTCATTCATTCATTCATTCATTCATTCATTCATTCATTCATTCATTCATTCATTCATTCATTGTGAAAGTTCCACTAAATAATATGTCAATCATTTTTTATTGTAGGTTGTCCAGCCACCTGACCCTTACCCAGTCAGCCTGGTCACTCGTGACCTTCAGCTTCAACAGCAGCAAAATCAACACCAGCAGCAGCAGCAGCAGCAACAACAACAGCAGCAGCAGCAGCAACAACATATGCACCAGTCCCAGCTGGCACAACATGCACATCCTCAGCACCTACAACCTCAGCAACATCCGCAGCAGCAGCAGCAGCAGCAGCATCAGCAGCATCATGGAGCAGCAGCAGCAACACAGCCAGCACAAATCCAAATCATCCTACCATCAAGTGGCTTCTCAACTCCTCATCATGGCAACCAGCAAGTGCCTCCAGTATCGCTACCAAGTCAGGTGTCTCAGTCTGGGCGTCCACAGATTGTCGTACAGTTCCAGGAGCCGGCAGTGTCGACTCCTGCACCACAGCCAAATGTCATCACACTGTCCTCGTCCGTCTGCCAGGCTCTCATCTCACAGATGCGGATGCAAGGTAACTGAGTAGAACATGGACCTGTGAAGATCTGGGGTAGAATAGGTCTTCAGCAACCCATGCTTGCCGTAAAAGGCGACTATGCTTGTTGTAAGAGGCCATTAACGTGATCAGGTGGTCAGGCTTGCTGACTTGTTTGATGCATGTCATTGATCCCAATTGCGTGGATCGATGCTCATGATGTCACTCACTGGATTGTCTGGTCCAGACTTGATTATTTACAGACCGCCGTCATGTAGCTGGAATATTGCTGAGTGCGGCGTTAAAAAACAAACATGACCCTGGCCAACGCCTCAAGCTTGGAGTCTTTTTGTTTTTGTTTTAAATAAATTTTATTCCATTTCGAAGTACATTTTAACAGATATATAAAGTGGGGAAATACATTTATGATCCTGGTAGGAAATGTGATAAAACTTATGACAGAAGTCTTGAATGCAACATTTGAAGTAGACAATAATTAGACTTTCAGATAGAGGAGATATTTTATGAATGTTTCACTTGTAATCCTGGTCATGGAGAGAGGGCAGAAGTCAGTGACTTCCATTTCCTGTGATAACAATGGATTCTGTTGCTTTTGTTTACAACATATTTTTCAGTTTGACAATTGTCACTCAATGAATGAACATATCAAACGACAGCTGGGAGTTCTGTCTCTATATTTTTGGGGCCAATTTCTGCAAATATAGTTAAAATGACCCTCCCCTCGATGCAGATTGTCAAACTAGCTGACACGGTAAAACAATCAACCTCCGTGAGTAGAGAGACAGAAGTACTCGGAAGCATTAGCATATTGCACATGTGACCTAACATGTGAAAACTGGTGAAGCTGAAATCAATTCCCGCTAGGGCTTCAGGTCAGTTATGGATGAACAGAAACAGCATTGTGGGTTTATGCCTGACATATTCACTGTAGCCAAACATTCTCATCTACAGACTCCATAGCAGGCCAGAACTCAGGCTATCAACCAGACAGCACGTCTGTGACGTCCCAGGAAGTCGTTGTTGCTGTTGATGCACAGGGTGCAGCGTCCTCGCATGGAGGTCAGTACAGTATGTAATCTATGCTTGTCGTGTGTACTTCAGTAGTGAATAAGTGTGTACTTTTTATAGCTTACTTTAGTGCTTGTGGGGTCAAGGTTGGCCCAGTCATATAAGGCACTGCAATTCGTTTGTTTGTTTGTTTGTTTGTTGTTTAACGCCGCACTCAGCAATATTCCAGCTATATGACAGCGGTCTGTGAATAATCAAGTCTGGACCAGACAATCCAGTGATTGATAACATGAGCATTGATCCACGCAATTGGGATCGATGACATGCATCAACCAAGTCAGCGAGCCTGACCACCCAATCCCTTTAGTGGCCTTTTACGACAAGCATAGTCGCCTTTTACGGCAAGCATGGATTGCTGAAGACCTATTCTACTCCGGATCTTCAAGGGCCACGCTGCAATTCACTGTGCAGGGTTACATGCTTTGGGCATTCCAGAAACCTATGCTTGTGGCTTCAAATCCGGGGTTTACCTGATTATGTTTCTAGGTTTGTCAGCACCATACCCATGCTCGTGGGTTTCACCAAAGTGGTAAACACCTCTGGCCTGCAGCACTTTATGCTTTCCTCCCACATAAAGCTGAGTGTGATATAACTGGAATACGGTTCACAGCAGCGTTAAACCAAACTCACTGTCTACTTTGGTGCTTTTAGTGCTTACTTAGTGCTTGTAGTGTGTACTTTAGTGCTTTTAATAGTATTTCAGTGCTTGTGTGTTCTCCTGTGCTTGTAGTGCTAACTTCAGTGCTTGTAGCTTTCACAGATAGCTAATTCATCTTGCCAGGGCATCATTTTGTAATGTTCTTTCACATCACTCATTGTCCGACCACATGTAAGTGTTTATATTCCTATCGTCTCAATTTCAAATCTGAACAAACTTCCAGACTACTTATTACCGCTGAAGGGGTCATTGTTGGCAAGCGTACTACAGATATGTACTGCAGGTAATTTTCAGTATACAGAAATGTACCATTGCCAAAATCAGACTACAGAATGGTGCAGGGGGAGGAGTCCATTCCGCAGTGCTGTTCTGGTTCCTTGCAACTTGTGTAGACGAGACTTCCTGTTTCTGAACATGGGAGATTTTCTTCAGAACGGTCATACTGGTGTATGAGATGCATTTCAGGGCACTACATTATAACGAGCGTACACTTTGTCCAGTTGATGGAGTTATGTTAAACCTATCACATAAAACATAAAATTCCAAGTCTATATTCTCAACTGTTTTGAGATGTTTTGCGAACTACTTCAACATTGTTAAAATTATCTATGTCAGTAATATCTACAATCCCCCTTCCCCCTCCTCTCAGCCCTCACTCTACATATCTTAATCATTTCACTCTTAAGTGTGTTCGGGGCGGTCAGGTAGCCTAGTGGTAATAGCGTTCGCTCGTCATGCCGAAGACCCGGGTTCGAATCCCGACATGGGTACAATGTGTGAAGCCCATTTCTGGTGTCCCCCGCCGTGATATTGCTGGAATATTGCTAAAAGCGGCGTAAAACCATACTCACTCACTCACTCACTTACCTAAGTGTGTTCATCTTACAATGTCTTCCTAAAAGTGACTCCGACTGAGTAACAGACTTTGCACATGCCTTTGCCACTTTTAATTTGATGCATACAGTACAGTTTTCAGAAGAAATTAGTATGGCAGAACTCTTTGTATGTCTCATCCTCTTAACAAGGAGTTGTGGCTCACAGAAGCTGGGATTTTCACACATATATTCACTTGCTTTGGAAGTGGTGATTGTAAAGGGAGATAACTCTTACGTGTTTGATAGCATGAGGTGACTTTCCCAGTGTATATTCGTACAATGACAGATATGTCTTCATTACCACCAAGTATCATCATTTATACAGGAGTGTACCAAATACAAAATCCGAATGCCTCTTTTTTTTTTTTATCATTTCCTGTCACATACTCTGTCATTTTCAAAAATATATTTTTGCAGTTGGTTATATTTATTGAATTCAGCTGGATAGAAAGAAATTCTGCATTATAATAATTACACCATAGAAAATCTGGTGACAAAAATTGTAGATTTTTACCAAATGTATTATTTACATCTCAATTCAGGGTAAAATCTACAGTGATTGATTATTTAAATACTTTTGACTTATATGTCTATTATAAGAATAGGTTTGCAAAATAATCATTAACTCAACCTATAATATTAGGATAAAATACATTTTAGCAACAACAACAAAAATAAATATATGTATACTTTTGCATTGTGAATTTGAACCTGGATTCCTTCAGACAGATTTTCTTTTGTGGATGATTCTGCCAAGTCACATCACTAGGCGCAGTGATCTCCCTTTGTCCATCATGTACCTGCATATAGTTTTGAAAACCTGTGACATATAAAACCTACCACCCACGACGAAGTATTTCTTCAGCTGTCGTGAATGTGGCAATTTTCTTCATTATCAAAACAATAAAATTTAATCATGTGTTTCTAATAGCAACTTTGCATCAGGCAAGGAATATGGAGATATATTGTTTCCAGTTTTGACAAGAAACATATCCTATGGGAAAAAGCAAAGTGTAACATTTGTTCACGTGTTGAGTTTTCTGACAGTAATTAAATTACTTTAACTGGATGTTGCAAAACAGTTGGTGTAGTGTACTTGTTAGCTTGTAGTAACACTGACTGCCTCCATAAACAAACCGCTGCCACTGTTAACATATAATGCACTTTCTCACATTTTAAACATTGAATTTGCTTAAATATGACAGCATTGTTCCATCAGATGTGCTTATAGATCTAAAGACAATCAGATTTTTGTTCATTGTAAGACTAAGCTTGTTTTGAATAGTTAAATGAGTATTTAAAAAAAAAAAAAATTGAAGTTTAGTCTGAAATATAAGAAATTGTTTTAAGGACTTTTTCACATACCAATTAATGCTTTTGTCATAATGTTAGAAATTAGTCGTGTTATCAAAGAGAATAGTATGAGAAATGTTTAGCTTTTCGACTTTTCTGCTTGTACCAGTCAGAAGTCGCTCTGTTATGATCCAGGATCTATTACCAAGCTTGTCCATTTTATCAAAATACGACCTGTGTCACTTTTGAATTTCCTTCCAAATATAGCTGACGTGTTGATGTACTGTTAAAAAATAATGAAATCAAATTCAATCACTGTGAAAATACAGGGTTCCCATTAGGATGAATTGTTAGAGGAATCATGTTGCCTGGCTCAGATGTTTTGTTAAATTGGAGATATACTGTCTGGACATTTTTTTTAACTCCTCTTAAAAAAACTATAGCAGCCTCTGCCAAAATCTTTTGAGTGTACAGCCCAAACAGGCTTTGCTGCATGCTTTTCAGGGGCGGACCATTTCATATATTGGGTGGAAGGGTGTGAGTCCTGTTTTTTTTCTCTTAGTTTTTGTTTTTGTTTTTTCTTCTTCATGAAACAGAGCTGAGATTTTTTCCAGTCACACTTTTTATATTCAACCTGTGAAAAGAATGTTAAGTTTTCTCACTATTCACTGAACGATATGACTTGCATGATATGGCCTCTTGAAATGTAAGAGTTGGATGATTATTAATAAATACTGTATTCGACGTAATAAGCGCCCCGCTCTAATAAGCGCCCACGGCGATATTTGCTAATATATTGGCAAGTGAACAATTAGCACCCCTTCCGATTGATCAATGTACACAAGACTTATTTATTCGCGTATAATACGCACTCGTGTGCTGTATGAACCGTGTGCTATATTAATTATGGGCAATTAAATTCTTGTCTTATAGTCTTATATAAACATTTCAGGCTGTCAGCATAAACCACGAAATTGATCTTTCTACTATGTTTTTCCACCAAAATAATATTTTAATAAGAGCCCCCTATTTCTTATTTTGAGAGCACCCTGGGCGCTTGTTACGTCGAATACGGTAAGTGTTACAGGCATGCTGTCTCCATGGTGAAGTCTCTATGGCAGAGATTATTGCATTGCTCATGAAAGACACTGTATTGATGAGGATGGCCATGTTGAGTTCTTATTGAGACTTAGATTTTTTTACAAGCAGATGAAGGCTGTGTGTTTTTTTACATAAAATTATGAGCTGTGTTTTTTGTATTTTCTTAAAAAACAACTGGTCCCTTCCTAGAAATCAAATGGTATGCCACTTAGAATAGGACCCATTTACCTACTGTATTTGCCATAGTAAGGACCCTTGGCTCTTAGACAATTGAAGGAAGGGCTTATTGAAACATTTAATTTGCTTATTAAATCCATTTTCAGAGAGCAGTAGTGAACATTTTAAACTTAGTTCAAGTGTCAATGAAACTTAAAAGTTTCCAATAATAGTAATAAGCCAGTTACTGGTACACACCGTTTCTGCTCTGCTCTTTTATGTAAAATAATTGTAATATACACACAAAAATATTGACTGTGATGTCCATTTTCAGTCAGATGTGGGGGCGTTTATAAAGATTACTTACAGAGTTGTCTAGAAGTAGGGCCTTGGGGGCTTTTTGAAGCAGGGCACTTAATATGGGGAATGCGGTATGCTTGTATTATGAAGCGACCAATGGATTGGATGGTTAGAGTCAGTGACATTGTTGACTGTGGTGTCATTGTTCTCATACTGTGTAGCTCATGTGTGTCATAGTTCCCACACAGAAGCTCATAATATCTATCACTGTAGATTATGCTCCTTGCAAACTGACACTCAAAAGGAAAGCTTACTTGATGCAAGACATGATACTAGTCTTTGGATGTGACTGCTGGTTCAAGTCAAGGTGTATTTCTTGGCTTATCTGAGGCCATCGGTAGACCATTACAGCCCCTGCGATGTCTGTGATATGTAAGAGTCCTGAACATTCCTATGCTCATGCATGGTCATGTAAGCCATTCATACAGTGTCATCAGGGTCAAGAACATTATGAGGGCCTTAACATGCAGATGCATTATTTATTTATTTATGCATAATGTAAATGATATCTAAGTCCTATGTGTCTACGTTTGCCTTGACTAGCAGTGAGTAAGACC